CCCCCGTCTCCCTCCTACTCCGAGCCCCCCGCCTGCGCGCCATCTCGTGCATGCGGGTTCGCTGCGACGCGTCGCCGCCCCTTCACCCCTCTGCGCCTATTGCCCTCCCTTTCCCCACTGTTACCTTCCCGCCTCTTGTTCGCCCCTACGGATCACAACCCCCGCCCACCCGTCTCCCGCCGCCATCTGCCCTTCCCCTGCATCCCCTCACAGGTGCTGCTGCGGTCGTCCCCGGGGCCGCCCCTGGTGTATGCTGCCTCTTGGTGGTGCGCCGCCACCGTGAGGCGCTACCTCCGGGACAGCGACATGCCGATCTGGAAGAGCCTGGGGGCGGGCAGGGTGGAGGTCTACAGAGAGATACTGGACGTGAGCGGGCAGGGGGGGGGGCGTTGGTACGCAACAACGCTTGCATGCAGGCTTGCAAGCGACATATCTTGTGTCATGAGATGTGGGGTGCGGACCAAGCATATGTGCGAATGCATGTGGGCCCGCGCCTCAGCCGCGTGCTGATGCCTTTGGGGGCGACCATGCGCCTCAGCGAGCACCACACCCCAGCGCTCTACCCCCCCCCTCCCCGCGGTCCCACTCCCCCCCCCCAAAAAAGGTGTACCAGGGCCACAACCCCCGCCTGGAGGCGCTACTGCAGCACCCTGGGCCCTTCTGGGGCCGCAGCTACTTCTTCCTGCACGGCGGCCGGCCCCTTACGCTCATCCACGAGGTGTTCAGCCCGCGGCTGGAGGAGCACCTCGGGCCGCAGCGGCCGGCGGCCCGCACGCGTGGCGCGCGGAGAGGGGTGGAGTAACACCTTCACCCCCGTCGGACTCTCGCTCTGTTTGGGCAGCTCCCTCAGCCTTGAGACTGGCGGCAAGAAGAATTCGTTGAAGCTGAAGCTGCAGTCAGCCGGCACCAAGGGGAGGCCTTGGCCAAGAGGCACTACAGCGGGGGGCTTACATGTGCGTCATGACAAAGCATGCATGGCTCCGTAAATGGTCAGTGCTAGCTGGTGGGTGGCGGCTACACTGGTAGTGTACAGTCAGCTTTCTTTGGCCTAGCCCAAAATCAGGGCACGACGACTCACAGGGACATGGCTAAAAAAGGGCTTATCCGAGCAAACCAACAGCTGCGCCGGAGGCGGGTGCGAAGGGGCGGCGGCGGCTGACCGCGTACTCCCCTGGCGTCGCGAGCCGAACTTGCAATGCTGCTGCGGTGCAGCGGGTAAGGTCTCTCTGTGCATACAAGTGATTGTGGGCGGTGGGGTGCAATGGCTGCGCACTAAGCCCGGGAAAGCAAGGGTGTTTGCGGCTGGCTGCCAGGGGGATGCGCGACAGGCAGAGGCGGCGCGGGCAGCGGGCGCCGGGGCGCCGGACGGCTCCTGCCCGCGCCAGGCGAGTTGCTTGCTGCGCTCGATCGCGCGCGCCGCAGCTCAGGGCGCCATCCCCGCCTGGGATGCCGCAAACGTTGGCGCAGCCTGTTGAAGCAGCGGCATCTGCTGCAACACCCCTGTAGCCGCCAGGCAAGGCCCCGCTTGGAGAAGGCGCAGGCAGCTCCTAGGGCAAGAGCCAAATCCTGCTCGCTCTTTCAAGTCGCAATTTATTTGTGACGCGTGTATGACACGCATTGGGGTCCCCGACGCTGTGCTAGTGTACACTTGGCCCATCGGACCAACACGCACCCCCAGGTGTGGGGCGTGCACAACAGGGCGCGCGAATTGGCGCGCAAAAAGGGATACGCTGCTCGCGTAGAAACAGGGCGCGGCCACGCACCAATCGCCCCTCTGCGGGCGCGCAGCATCCTGCAAGCACCCTACCGCGTGTGATTCACACACGCCAGGGCGGCCTGCGGCCTGCCTACACCACCCAAGCCCCACTGCAGATCTCGCAGCCGCGCCAAGCAGCACAGGTCGCCTCAAATCGCCAACAACGGCGGCCGAGCCCTGCAAGCAACGAGCGCAACCCTAGTCAGCGGCTAGGCGGCCCTCCAAGCCGCCAGCTTTTGGGCGCTCCAGCCCTCCTGAGGCCGTGCAGGCCGCCGAATCGCAGCTGCTGGAAGCTGCCGGGAAGCCGGCCGCTCAGCGCCCGCCCTTCATCAACAGCTTCTCGGCCCGCCTGAGCGCCTCCTTCCCGACGGCCTCGCCGCTGCCACCGCCGCCGGGCGCCTCCGCATAGGACGCCTCCCATACGTACCCGCCCGCCGGCCGCGCGTGCGGGCTGCTGCCGTTGAGCGTCGACGCGTCGTCCGCGAGGGGCATCGCCGCGAGCGCGGCCAGCGCCGCGCGGCCGCCCTGCAGCTCCCGCTCTGAGACAGTCGCGGAATCCAGGAAGCTGCAGGCAAGGTGGTTGACGCAGGGCAAGGGCAGGTGTAAAGCCGGCGTGAGGGCTTGCGCCGGTGCCAGCGGGTGGGACCGCGAGGGTGCAATGCGGGGGTTGGGAAGTGAAGCCTCGCATTCCTGCACGACGCCTGCTGCCACAGCCAGGAACAGGTTGAGCTGAACAAGCTGCAGGGGTGCAGTGAACAACACACGCGGTCGCACCAAGGCACCATCCTGCATGAGGCGCCCGCCCCCCAAGAGCAACCTCCGTCGCCCCGCAGCCGCGGCGCACCTGTTGCTGTACCGCTCCGCCAGCGCGATGCAGAACGCCGCGCCCAGCACGCTGCCCTTGCTGCACGCCGCCAGGTGCAGCAGCTTGAACGTCTCCATCTCGAGGCTGATCAGGTCCGGCCTCGCCGCCAAGAGGTCCGAAATGAGGTCCTCGTTCTGGTCGTCGAAGGGGCCGCCCGTGCGGCCTTGGGACCCGTAAAAGCTGTCAGCGGTGGCGTCGAGGCCGCACACCACCCTGCTTGGCCCCACCTCGCGGCGGCACGCGTCGGTCAGGAGGGAGGTGAGCAGCGGGTCGGGCGGCACGGCGGCGGAGACGGGGTAGCGGGCGCGGCCGTCGTTGAGGGTCCAGGCGTCGGGGTCGCGCCTGGTTTGTTGTGCGTTTGTGGGGGAAGGCGGGGGCGTATGGTGGGGGGGAGGCGACTGGAGCGCTTGTCAGGAAGTCGGTGCTGAGAGGGGGAACCACAGGCTGCTGTCGTGAGGGCTGTGCACAACTGCTTGCACAATAGCCGCGCGCCGTCCCGAAACAATTGCGCACTCGTCCAGACGCTGACAGCAACACTTTGGACCGTGTCTGAGCCGCGGCGCGCCGCCGCCCCGCTGCGCGCCCACCTGACGCACACCGCGCCGTCCGCCGCGACGAGGAGGTCCCCCAGCTTGGCCGGCGGCCGCAGCGCGCCGCACGTCCCCAGCCGCACGACCGCCATCTGGCCGTCCGCGACGCTGCGGCACTCCCTGACGACAAAGTCCATGTTGGCCATCCCCATGAGGGTGGTCACGACGGACACAGGCACCCCCTGGTAGCGCCCTGCATGTTGGGGTTGATGTCCACATTCGCATGGGTTGCGACGCATGCGCCGCATAGACCGCATGCACGCGCGTGCATGCGAGTGGATGCATGCACATGCATGCAGATGCATGCGCGCGTGCATGGGTGCACGATGGTGCGGCGATGCAAGCGCCAGGGGCGCGGGCCAGCAAGGGAGCGTCATGCAGCGACGCGGGCGCCCACCGGTGATCGTGAGGAAGCCGCGGCCCGAGAGGTGCTGGAACAGGCCCGCCCCCGGCCGCGGCGGCTCCAGCATGTCTGCTATCAACAGCGCGCGGTCCATGCTGCCAACAGAGAGGATGCGGTTGGCGACCTCCCCGTGCTGGGGGCAGGCGGCAACGATAGGGCGGGGAGCAGGAGGCAATGTTGGTATAAACGTGCCCGGAGAGCAGCCCGGCTTGCAGGGGCTGCCATGCACCTCCGCTGCATGACATCAGCAGGAACTATTTTCTCAAGACCGCAGCGCAGCAGCTCAGAAGGCAGCGCAGCGACCAGCGCCACACGCAGCTGAGGGCGCGTGGTGAAGTTGCATCAAAGCTGTGCCGAACCGCGGTCAAAGCTCGCACCCTGGTGCCCAGGTGAAGTGTGCGCCCCTCCGCGTCCCTTGGGAAATTGGCATCCTGTCAATTCATGCGCAGGCAGAGGATCAAGTACCGCGTGTAAGTGTCAGCTCATCTACGGCGCAGCAGCATAGCGGCAGCAGCAGCACATCAAGCGCAGGCAGCGACATGGGCGCGTTCTGCGCCGCATGCGGGGCGCTCACCGAGAATTGCTTATTGGCCTCTACCCCGGTGTGCGTGACCGCGCTGCGTAATTTGGCCACCGGGGAGTCGTTCGTGATAGACCCCGTGGTTCCGTTGCCCCCCTCCCGGCCTGAGTATGCGAGAACAATTGTTCTAACACGCTGCCTGTAAGCGGCGCGTCTGATGCTTGAGGGCATCAGACATCCCCGTGGACAAGGGCCCGAAGGCACTGTCTTTCGGTGCAGAGCTGTGTGCATGATGGTATGCTGTTGAGATGCCGTATGCAATTTACCAACATGGAAATATGGCATGCACCGATCAAATCCAATTGCAAGTGGGCCGGTGCACATGCACGGTGCAACCTTGACAGCAGTGCGCCCAATGTCCACTTCACTCATGAGCTCAGCATGCCCCACCAGGCGCCATGCTACTCTGCTAGCCCGATGCATCCTCATGCAAGGAAGTTTTGCGATCTAAGGTGTTGTACCAACAACCCGAACCACTATAAGCAGGATGGCCGTGGCGCTGGGATGCGGCGCCTGCTGCGCTGACCCGGGGGGGGGGGGAGGGTCGGGTTGACCGCCCATTGGCATTGTGTGAATCTAGACAGGACACACCCTATCACAGACCTCAGCACTGTGGACCCCAGGAGAACCTCAGAATAAGCAAATCGTCAGGTCAGACCATGGGGTGCAATCAATTTACAAGGCCGCAGGCAAACACATCGCCCTCAAAACAAGCAAAATGTCAGGTGAGACAACGGGGTGCGATCAGATTACAAGGCCGCAGGCAGAAGCGCGCACATTGCTCTGCGGCGCCGAGTCGCAGCCGCGCTGTCATGCTGCGACCGCCGAGCGCAGCCGCGGCGGCGGCTTGAGCATGGGCGCGCCGCCCCTCGGGTTCGCGGACGGGCCGTCCCCGAGCTGCCCGCACGCGGCCATCTCCGGAGAACCCTTCGAGGCGCGGACAGTGCACACCCGGCCGCCTGCGAGGGCGCCGCAACGCATGAGGGTGTTAGACTGATTTGGAACCCCAAAGCCCTTGCGCCAACTGGAACAAAAGCGAGACAGTATTTGGCCGCCCTAAGGGCCATAGCTGGCCCCCACACCTCGTCCCGTGTGCGTAGAGGCTCCCGCGACTCAGTTCGCTGGGCCCCCCCTCCCCTGGTGCGGCGGCGGCGCACCTCTCATGAGGATCTGCTGGAAGGATCGCACGCGCGCGTCGCTGCTGCCCCGGAAGACCGTGCCCTCATGAGGGTTGAAGATGATGAGGTTGATCTTCGTGGGGGTGTGGGAGAGGGTTCGAGACAGGGGCAAAGGGTGGGGGTGAGAGGGAGAGAAGCAGGCAAGGGTGAGGAGATAGGAGGCCGAGGGT